CTGATGGAATTTAATTTTTCCTTAGAGTTTGTAGGAAGGTACATATAAACTTAGGTATAAATAAACTTTGTTATGAAAAATAATGTATCATATTTGAAACAATTTTAGACATGTTTAATTTCAAATGAAATTGATTAACTAAACAATTACATTTCCAATAGGAATGTTTTCTACCTTTTAATAATTCACAGCAACACTGATAAATAGTTATTATATCCGTGCTTGAAGTGAGTTGCATTCCGTTGAAAACTCATCGTTATTAGAGATTTCGTGCTTGAGCATCGCAGCGTCTTGCATAATATGACGCGAGAGGGCAGGCCTGTTCGCGAGAAAATAACGGGTGCAGAAGCGAAGCTCTCGTTAGCACTATGAAAAATGCTAGCACGAGTTATGGATGAAATTACGTGGTCGACTAAGAGATTCCCGCGCGATGGCGCTGTTGTCTTGAAATAAAAATTCTTCGAGTGCCTTACACATGAAAAGTATAGCTATTAGAACTTCAATAGAATTTCAGCATATTTTCTTATATTGAATCACATATCATCTCCATACACACACACACACACAACGAAAAATTACGAAAAATAGATTCATCTCTTTCAGGTACACCACTTTAATTCACACGAACACAATTTCGCTTACACGCCAGCGCACGCTTAACCTCGATTCGAACCAGCATGAGAGAGCAAATAGAACAGGTGACGCGTTTTGCATTCCGTTTTCGATCGCAAAAATCGTATCCACGTACGGGTCACGTTTCACCGGTTTCGACGCGAGGATTACCTACGAATACTCCCCTGTACGTATACAAATTACAGCTTGCCAATGTACGCGTGGATCCTTTTGCTTCTTGATCGAGGAAATAAAACGTTTCCCGACCGGCGACTGTCGCCCTTCCTTCCCTCCATTCCCCTGTTCCTGGAATTCTTTCTCTCCGCGCAGCTGAAAACCAACCAAGCCTGTGCTGTTGAACTAGTGCCCCTTACGCCGCTCCTCCCCATCCCAAAGAATCACGGACTAGCTTGCTTACCTTTTTTCTCTCTCTAATGTTTTGCTAACGTATTAGAGTTAGAGATAGATATAACGTCAAATCCTAACGTATTATATACAGTATCGCAATATTATGTTCTCGGGGGGGGATTAAGAAAATAACAACTTTGTATTTTTAGCTATCAATTTTACGAAAAGGAAGGAAAGATGCTCTTTACTACTTCCTGAGATTATTTCAAATGACCTTTCCTACATCTCGAAAACATTTAATAATAAAAAAACCTCCGGTTACATTTTGTAGATTCCCTTTGACAGATTCCCCCCCACTACGTGTCGTCAGCTAACATTTAAACTGAGTGGGGGAAGCTTCTAGAAACTTCGTTGCTTACTTCGTGCAGCACTGATTTAAATAATCAACCGGATGGCGACACCCTTTTATTTATCTCGCTTCTTCCGCCAGGATTCCCCGCCCCGTAACCATCCCATACCTTCCTGTCTCACGCGTTTAGCAATTGTTTTCACCGTTTCTTTTTCCCAGTGTCTCTTCGTTTCCTCGATAGTGGAAATTTATGAGGATCCAAGCGGAATTCGGAGCTTGACTCGTTAACAGTTTCCCAGCGTGGACTGTTTAATTTGAAGAGACGGGTTCGAGGTGCACGGTGAATCAGTGAACTCTGATATTTCGATGAGACAGGAAAGTTAGATTATCTTTGATAAATTTAATAAATTTTTTAATCTATTTAACAAATTTCGATATATTTATAAAAATTGCCTGCGCTTTGATTTTTAACAGCTGCCATATTATTGAAAAATTGTAAACAAAATTTTGAAGTATCAAATCACAAAAGACGTACAGCCCTGAGTGCTCAGCTGGTATCATCCCTTAATACTTCAATGTACGACCTCACTGTATCGCTTCCACCAACTGTACGCTTTATGGTTGACTTACACTACTAGCTACCAAGAAGAATAGTAGCAGAAATAACTTGGATGTTCATTACTGTAAGCGAAGAAACCCTGTATAATTAATTCATTCTATTTATTGAATAAACTGAGCAATCTTACTCCTATTGGACGAATCATAAATAACTACGCAACCTTTTTCCTAGTTTACCTAGTCATTAAAATCATCATAAAAGTTAGGTTAGGTAATATACCCCTGTAGAAGAAAATCCAATATTTCATAACTTCTTCTCGTTCGTTTTATACATTTGACGTCCTGAATTCAAGTGCTGTTACACTTGAAGTTACGTGAATGTACTTCAACGCGCATGTCATCGAGCTGACATTGAACGAAACACGTTAAATTCGTGGAACACTTTGACGTTAATAGTGGCTCGAGGTCGTTGATGTATAATGGCGGGGGGCTGCCGCTAAGCAAGCAGCAAGCACGGAAACAGCCTCTTCGCAGCCACTAGACTTCTTTTTCAACGAGACCTTTAATCGTGAGTCTGTTTCAGTTTTGCTCGAAACTTAAAGCCACTTATTATTTTCTGCATCAAGCTCACATGTTTTTCTTATTGGATCATTGTATACGATATAATGAAATTTTATTATTTTAAAAATTACTTCTTCCTCCTGTTATAATTATTGCAATTAATAATTAATAATTGATTCATTGTAAATTGAAATATGAACAGTATTAATTTTTAAATTGTAAGCGTAACGTTTACAGGTTTTACATTTTTTATATTATAACGACCAGCTACAGCGAAGAACATTTGGCGAGCAGACTACCAGCACGGTTTATGACGTGGCGCTTGAAAAGCTATTTTTGAGGAAACCGTTTTTAGCTTATTTAATTTCTAGAAATTCGACAATGCATATCCGCGTAGAAACTTTCTCCGACGGCCGCAATAGCAAATTGCTGCATCATAAACCAAGGGTTTCCGAAAGGTCCGCCGTACGAGGCCCAGAGGCCTGGACCGGCAGGTCACGAGTACCTGACCTGGAGGAAACTCAGCTATGTTGCCAAATGACGTCACGGGAAAAACCTTCCCCGCCGAGCGCACTGCAGTCCCCGAAAAAGCGCGCCAAGGGCGCAAGGGACACGCAGCGACTCAGAAAGAAATTACCTGATTGATTAACACCGATGTGACGGGTTAACCAATCAGGGATGATTAACAAACACGTAGCCGAAAGGCAGTAGGAAAAAAGCGAGGCGACAGGAGGGAGTCTTGCACGGACCTCCAAAGCCATCAGCCAACGTTTAATAAAGATCTCACTACTACCATGTGGGTACATAGCGTAACCCTAGTCACGCCTTATTATTCGTAACCACATTACTTCAATATCTACTTCTTTTAAAACCTCACAGAAAATTAAGTTCACCGAAGGTAACGGATTTTAATAAATAATTGTTAGGAAGCTTTAATATTTAATTCTCCACATTAACTTCGATTACCCCACACTTTAACCTCAATTCGTTTCCCAAAGCTACAATTATTCTTCGTTAAACTATCGCTACAGTATTCTCATGTACAGGGTGCTCCATTAATCACGGACTCCTAAAACATTACTGCTACTATTGAAGGTACAAAAAAAAAGTAAGTGAAGGATATTTTCATGATTCCAGAAGAGTATTACTCCCAAGATCACCTTGAAGGTCATCTTAATGTAATGAACAATCTATCACTTTGTTGTACAATATAATAAAAAATAAAATTTGAAGTAGTCGACGTAGTTTGAATAATACATTCACAATAAATTAGACACCCCATATATAATTCCAACTAGCAACACTAAATCTCATTAAACTTATTCCGTGCATCTGCCGATAATTATATTTCAGAACACGAATTCCCCTCACGGCGTTAACTCAATCCCCCCCTTAACAATCCTAAAACGCACGAACGATTCTCGAACAATCACGTGTGTTTACCAACCTCCACGTTTTTCCCCATTTCGCACGCTGCCCCGACCAGTCGCAGTTCACCGTCGATAGGTCACAGCCGTTCGACTCCCTTCACGTAACAATTATCCGACACACGAGTGCATCCCGGAGTATCGAGTGTCGAAAACGGTTCTCGTCCCTCTTCACGCCTCAATGACCGCTGCTATATCCCCCAGTGTACGTACACTGCCACCCATACAACCTACCAACGATATATTTGCAAAAATTTTTTTTTGAAATCTTTGACAGATATTGAGAAAGTTATAAGTAACACGTGTTATATGAACATAGATACTATTCTCAGCAGCAACGATATCTTTGCAAAAATATGTCTCAGAAATGGTAGAGAAACCTTTGACAGATGTTTAGCAGGTTATGAGTAAAAAGTGACATATGAATATGAATGCTATTTTCAATACTGTCACAGTGAAATCGCAAGCATCATGCAGGGTGAAGTTTAAGAGATCGGTACGGAATAAAAGAATCTCGAATATCGTTTGTCCAGAACTGAAAATGGAATAGAATTAATCCACGATAAATTAATACGAATATATAGCTTCTTACGTCTTATCGTGGAGTGCGCACGTTAACACGGTCGAGCCACCATTATCCCAACAGACAGATCCGACATGGCGATCCTATCACATTACTACCAACGTCTACAAACTTAATCCTGCGGATTACTCTTTGTAACGACATTCGAAACGGATATACCGTAATTTTCTGTTTTGTTTCAATTTCTGAATTGTATCAACATAATTATTGAGAATAGCATCTGTATTTACATAACACCAAATAACCTAACAATCACCTAGTACATCTAACCTAACCTAACATTTTTCGTCCTATGTATCTATATTTTTCATACGCTCGTTCATCACTGACTGTACACACATACAGACACAGGCACAACAAATACAGTAAGAGGAAACAAAAGCAAAAGGGAAGCGGTTGGATTAATCGACGAGCGTGGCCGTGACGTTTTAAGGGATAAAGCCGACCACGTAGAATTGAAACAGCTCGTAACGGTCGTGCGCTATGTTCGAGCGTAACGGGTACATATGTATGGCAATTAAGTCCGGTGTACATGGACTGTGCGTCCGCGGCGGCGACTTACCTCGAATGCAGGGCGCAGCCACGCTGCACTGTGGGGAAACTCGAGGGGGGCGGCGGAGGCGGAGTGCAGTATGCCGGTGGCAGCGGTGGATCATGTCTGTGGAGGTGGTTGTGGCGGTGGCTGTGGGAGTAGCTCAGGGAACCACGCAGACTACCGGGCAGGTGGCGATGAGGCGTTGACTGATCACTAAAACAGCCACACAAACGATGTTTTTTTAAATTTCGAACAATTCGAAAAATCGAACAATTTGTTGGTAAGTGTATGTCTATACACTGAAAGCTAGTTGTCTTACAATAAATAAAATAGATGTTATAAAGTACTACTGAATGTAAAAGACGTAATATATACCACGGATTATGAAAGTCAAACATTAACAAAAAAAAAATTGAATTTATCCCTTATTCTGTATTGTATCGATTTGTATTACAATAATGCGAAATCAGTTTTACAAAATAGCCGGATATTAGACCGTTAAATACAGTTGATAGTTAAATCATATTCCAAAGGAAAAAGTCTACATATCTCATGACTTGGGTCACTTTAAGTTATTTTTCCTAAAGAAATTGTTTCATTTAAGGTAGCAGACAATCTTCCATTATTATCAATAAACAACATAGCGAAAACAGTATCACTGATAAGATACTACATTTACACATACGTATTCTATGCTACGTTTGTAACATAAAATTTTATGTTTTCACAATATAAAAACTGGTGCATAAAAAGCTTATCTGTCGGTAGTAAAGCGATCTATTTTACTAATCCGTGGAAAAACACTACATACCGACTACCGTCATTGTCACTCTCTGCACGGTAAATACAATCTTGCCATGAGACGGTAAAACAGAAAACTGTAACCGAATGATTCTATACACGGCTTACATTGAGTTGGTAAAACAGAAACAAAGTAGTATCTCTGCGTTGAAAATACTTCGCATGAAAAGAAAGTGCATACAATGTATTTTTTAAATCTTTTTTATACAAATAAAGTTGTACGTGTTATAACAACATCATTTCTAACATAGTAAAACTGAATCGAAGGTGTCTTGAACACATTTTACTATTTTATAATCAATTGCGGCAATAAATCTGACAATATGCTCCCCAGGAAACTTCCTCTACAATTCTTATCGAAGATAACGCACGCTGCATTTAGGGTATCCAAAGTAGATAGTGACTTATTTAAACTGAGTTAAATTTAAAATTTATTTTCAGTTTACTCGAACACAAGTTCCAATTTTCGAGATTAATCGACTATCGATTATCTCGAACGTCATTTTTAGAAAGACCCCGCTCTATGAGTTTAACCGTTCAGATAATTTTTTGAAAATTAATTTCATAAAACTAAGAAGGGTATATTTAAACGTTAAAATATATTCAATTATTTAGGGATCAGATACATTTATTTCTTCTATCACAGTCTACTGCTATCGATTTATTAACCAATTTCCAACAACTCTATTGTACTTCACACCTGCTAAATAATTACGCACAAAAGAACTCTCGTTACATCCGGTTGCGGCACAGTAACCCACCTGGAGTCCTAACAACGCGTGAATTCCCACGAAACAACGTTTCAGATAACAAGCAAAGACGAACGAAATTACACGTTCCACCGCCTTGTCAATCTTACGATAAACGTTCCACTGGAACGCATAAAATAGCACCATAATATTTTCTCCACAGTACGCTAACTTTTTTTCCGGAAGAAAATGACATAAACATTTCAGTTTTTAATTTCACGTATTTTTAATTACAGAGAAAGCAAAGTAAGTTGACAACAGTATGAAATAACTTCCTACAGCTTTTGATTTCTACATTCCACCCTTTCCATTTGTTTTTTAACATTTCGTAATTTCATATTTCCACCATGTTACGCGTTATCTAGATCTCGATTTCACGATTATTGCTTTCCTATATATTTATACATATAGCAATTAAATTAAAACTGGAATAAAATAAAATTAATAAGAACTTTTACTTTATTCATTTCAACGAATCACTTTTACTCGCGTCTTCAAACATCCCTAATATTATACAATTAACAGTGAATGCCAGATATACAGGTTAGAATAAAAAAAAAATTAGATGGCACGTAGTCCGTACCACGGTTCAATTCCACCGTGTAAACGATTTTATCTACAGTCTCTGCAGAGAGAAGTGTGAGAGCGGAAATGTTGAGAGGGCCGATTAAAGCCTCCTTCGGAAGGGTTGCGCTTTTATCTAGCGTCAAACACTTTAACGACGCGATATCTTACCGACGGTAGATAAAAAAGGGCGAGAACACACAGCAAGCCGCCGGAAGGGACATCTGTTCACACTGCTGCCAAAGAGTCAATATATGTACTGTTTTTCTCAAAGTACACTTAAAGAAGTGTATGTATATACACTTAACATCCGATGTACACGGTCAACCTTTCCATTCCCAAATTCTTTAACGTCTATAAAAAAACAGATTTGTCTATATTTTAACATTTCCTGCGATTTGAAAATCGTTTAAGACTTCTTTTTATTCGTACACACTTGGCAACATTGGAGAATAAAACCTGGTCTTAATGTAATTAAAATTTTTAATTTATTTCAAACATTTTATAAGAGAAAAGCTACATAGTGAAAATGAGAACGTTAACTGGTATCGTATAAATCGGGACTGCTTTTTCGTAGAATGCATGGGGTGCACAAATACGCAATATAAATTGAAAACTTTATTTTTCGAAGTAATAAAGTCAGATGCAGACAATATAAAAAGTGATGCACAACCAAGGAAAGATTCAAATGAATGCGAGCTGACAAGTCTATGGTACTACTACTAGCGCACTATTTTCTTGGCGTGTTAATAAAAGAATGGACTTTTTTTAAAAAGACGTCACTGTCTAACATCAACGCTATCGTAAAAACAGTGAAAAAATTGTATTAAAGTCAAATAGAACTGCGTAATATAAAATTCTGTCGTTTTCTTCCGACGGTATTACACGAAACCTGTATAATTCTACTGTCGTACAAATTAAAGGTTAGGTTATACGACAAATCACCAAGGGAACTTGGCGCCGACTTTTAACGGTGAAATAATTCGTAGAAGAAGAGTGGCAGAAGGTAATGTGCTCGAAAGGATGTGATTACTAAAGTCGACCTCGAATGCACGTGTACTTATGTCGGACTCAACGTCACAGAAACTAGATCCTTAGCAAATAAATTACGTAAGCTTAACCTACGGATCTTGAAGGAACGCTCAAAGGGCTTGTGTTTCAATTAGAAGGAAAATGTATGCATAAAATTTAACATAGCTGAAATATTGCTACGTGGTATATAATATCTTAGAAATACAGGACGATCCATAAATCGTTTTACCACTTAAGGATTTAATAAACTTTTTTCGAAATCTGAATAAAAAATGTTAAAACATATGGTATGATATTTTAGAATTGCGACTATTTTCCCTCTTCCAGTGAAAAAATTGTTTTCTTAATAACTTTTTTTATTTCATACATATTATAATTGTAGTTGACATAATTTTTTCTTTCTTTTTTCATATAATTACATGGACAGTATGATTATTTTGTACTACTATTAAGTCAATGAATGTTTACACAAAATGTCATTGAAACTGGTAACCAGAAGTCATTGTTCCCCGTAAGTAAACAAATTTGACCTCCCTACAAGTTACAAAATACACGTCTCGAGTGTCTCGGTGAACTTCTTCAGCACTCAAAACTAACCGGTGACTAATCGAAATTACACATGAACACACTTCTGTATCTAGAACTCACAATAAACGTTTGTCCACCTTATCCACGCAATCCATCCAGGAAAAACTGATAAAAGTCATACTCTCTTCCTAATCTCTTGTGCCTTTCAACCGTACTTCTTCACTTGCATCACAATAGTTACTAGAAATTAATATCTAGAGCTAGAACAATAACTAGAACAATAAGAATAACAAATGTTTGAAAGAAAAAATGTTCATTCATATCTTTCACAGAAAATCACGGAAACTTCTAGAAATTAGAATGTTATAAATTCCTATAATTTCTTTCAAAAATATAAACCTGTTGTTTCAACTGTTCTGGTAACATTAAAGTAAAGAAAAAAGCATCAGACATTCCTATTTTTCGTTTTATAATTTTCAGTACAAAAGAAAGCAAATATCGGATACTAATAACGGAATCGTATCAAGAACAAAGAACATGGAGAAAGGCAGTCGACGCGTCTGTCAGAATGTGATTAAGTTTCGAGAGAAGCCATTTTACACGTGGCCCGGGTCGAATTAAAAGCCGTTGTTTTTATCGATAACCGAGTCGCGGTGTAACGTTAATTACGCAAACGAGGGGTAAACTTGCTCTCGCGACGCGAGAAATCCGTTGAAAGCCCTGCTTCCGTTCGCACGATCTCGGCTAACGACGAACCGAGACGCCATACCACGGCGAAAAATGGAACTTTGTAATAGGACTTGGCGCGGAAAGTGTCATTATGGTGCCGCGTTGGAATAGGCTCGTTAATAATGCAGTTTCAAAAGATAAATTATACTTTTATCATTTTTCGTATAATTCGAAGATAGTGAAGATAGTGTTGCAGTGTTGAATGTTCAACAAGCGTGACAAAATGGAAGTGTAGCAGGTTAAGACGATTAACCGTGATAGCGAATATTGCAAAAAAAAAAAAGGTTTCTTTGTTGAATAATCAACTGGATATTATTCAAGGTCGTTTGAAGGTTGATAGATAACTGTGTTTATATTTTATTTGTAAAATACATTGTTGTGTTAATGAGACGACAGCGTCCAATTAAATATTTCTTTCAAATGGATATATTCATTTAATAGTGCTGGAATTATTAGAAATACGTACATCAAATGTACTGTATGTAAGGTTTTAATGATTCATCGAAAACAAGTCAAGCGAATATTTTTAATTAGAAGAACCTACTCTTCCATTAGAAAAATTGCTATATTAATAAAACGCGAACAGTATGACATATAAAAACTGTTATAGTTATTGTGTTTGATAGGTTACGCAGGTCACGGTTATTTTTTGGAACGAAATCGCGTTTTTAATCCAGACGAAAGATATTTTAGTTGGAAATTGAAGTAAAGTGTGTTTGAAATTGCGCTCACGAGACAGAGAGTGCACACCTGTAGACCACATGTTTTCTGTATCCCAAATAAAGAGTCACACCATGGTTGGCCATTGCA